TTGGAATGTCCCAAAGTCGTGTGGATTTTTTATCTTGTACAGAGGGTGGCAAAAGTTATGGGACACCCTTCGGGGATTCGTTCCAGCCAACGACCTAATTTTTGTATGAGGTAGAATATCAATCAACGCCGAGATGTACCATTACTTTTGCCCACCCTCTGTACCTAATCTAGAAACCGGAACGACGCGGGACCAATTTGGCTGGGGTACCGCGTTCCGGTTACTGTGTTAGTTGCCAGTAGTTAGATGAAGTAAGATCAGACAGATGCATCATGACGATTTTCAATCAAATCTATGACAAATTTCATCTCTCCACAAGAATTCCCTTCTTTTCAAACTGATTAGACAATCATCACAATTTCCATCCTACCCATTCTAAGATTCAAGAGATAAAAACTTCTCTCCCCGCCGTCCTTGACTTTGACACGGAAAATCATTCCTCTTTTATTTTCTAGAGTTGAGAGTTGTGACAAGATTCAAATCATCCCACTTCCACTTTTAAGACAAATCACACATGTTCCACCTTTACTTCCTTTTCTTTCCCTCCTTGACCCTCTATCACATCATTCCCCGTATTCCCACCAGACGACTGAGAGTTCATGCTCGTCGTTGGTCCCAAAGATATAATCTCTTGCGTAGAGGTGATAGGTAAAATTGGAGAATCATCCCGTCCCATTTGGTTTTGACCATTGTTATTCTGTATCGATTGATTTGGGTAATTTACGTTTTGTCCATGAACAGATTGATTATTCTGATTAACCTGTTGTTGAGATTGATGTTGATCTGCCAGGAATTGTTGTTGTTGTTGTTGTCTGATAATTTGATTATATTGCTCGATCTGTCTTTGATCTGCCGATTGAGCTAGAGTGCGAATTTGATTCTGTGGGATAGACATATGATTAGATTGTTGAGTGTATTGTTGTCTTTGAGAATGTACCATCTGTTGTTGTTGAATCGGTGAAACGTGTGTCATTTGAGGTCTTTGAGATTGTATCATCTGTTGTTGTTGAACCGGGGAAACATGTGTCATTTGAACATGTTGATGTTGAATATTATGATGTTGTCCCACTGGAGATAACTGAGAAACCATTCCATTCTCACGTTGTTGTTGTTGTTGTTGTTGGATCAAACCTTTTTGTTGATTATCCAAATGTAAAGTAGCTTTCTCCATTGTACTTCTAAAATGCTCACGATAAGCGAAATTCAAAGCATCTTGACTTTTCACTAATTGTACTGGATCATGACCGTTTTGTTGTGCTGAGCTGAGATAATGTGGGTAAACTTCAATCGCGAATTGTTCTATCGGTATGAACCCTGGTATAGAACCTGTTTTGGGAATTTGGTTTATTTGATGAATCAGATTCGGGTTGATAGTTGGGTTAGAGTTTACGTTCGGGTTCGGGTGGGAGTTTGAATATGAGTTTGAGTGTATCTGTGGGATAGATTGAGAATTCGTTCCGGAAAAAGATTGTGAAGTTGGGAATGATGGTTGTAAAGGAGGTCTTGGTGTGTTTGAAAGTGGAGAAGAAGGAAGTGAAGTAGTTCTTTGAAACGGAATATGAGAAGTTGACACTCCCGTCAAAGGTTTATTATTGAATAACTGTTGGTTTTGAACTTGGTTCAAATTCACAGTCTGGTTTTGGACGTAATTTGAACTTTGACCTGATGAATTTGAAACACCGTGGATTTGGTTCATTTGAGCAGCGAAAGTCTGTATGGAAGGACCTTGTCCAATAGAATTAGATCGTTGATTTTGGTTTTGTGATTGCATTTGAGTCGAAGCTTGCGAAAGCGATTGAAGTAGAGCTTGAGGCTGAGGGTGAAGTTGAGATGGAGGGTGATGTTGAGAAACGGTATTGGTATTGATAATTGGAGAATTTGATAATGTCTGCATAGTATTAAGAGGAGAATTCGATACCACTTGGAAATTATTAAGAGGTGAAAACGTATTTTGTGGATTTATTGAAGTTCTATTAGGTGGAAGTATAGTCGTTGGATCAGAAGATCGTCGAAGTTGAGAATCAACATGCGTACCGATGGTGGGATTAACATTTGGAGGATTAGGATTTGAAGGTGTTCTGGAATGTACTTGTTGTTGTTGTTGGTGCTGCTGCTGGGCGGAAAGTCGATATGTAATTGCCATTTTATGAAGTTCCTATTGAAATCAGTCCAAACTTTTACCGGAATTGTTTTCCACGTTGGATGAAAGGTAGGAGAAGCTGTGAGTAAGTGGAAATGGACCCAGAGCAGTGTGTTAAAGTGTCGGTGAAGATCACTGAGAAGTAGGTAAGGATCTTTGATAGACCAGAATAGGATAGACCAAGATCAAAGGGGGAAAGAAAAGGAATCTCAAGAGGGATGACAATGGGATATGAGGTGATATAGTACGTGATCAAGAAGAGAGGGGTTCAAGTCCACAGACTACTCGATTTCGGAATACACCACACCGCCAGAAGAACGAAACTGTAGCTCACCCTCTTTGCAACACCAACCATTTCCTCTCTCAATTCCAGTTTCAATCTCTCCAAAACATCACTTCCCAACTCTGCTTTTGTCTCTCCACCTCCTCCTTCTCCTTTACCCACTGTACCACCTTCTTTTCCTCCCTCAGCGACTCCACTCTGACCATCTTCTGCAATCCCTGTTTGCCCAGTTGAGACCTGAGAAGTCTGACTACCCCTCAAATCCCTCACTTCTCTCTCTAACTTTGCTACTCTCCTTCTCAATTTACCAACTACCGAAATGACACGTCCTATGTCTTCATCCCTATACTTCTCTTCTTCCTCCATACCCAATAACACATCATCTGCTATTTCTCCTTCTTCGGAAGAAGCAATCTCCACTATCTCCATTTCCAGCTGATCTTCTTGTCCATGTTTCTTACCAAACACATTATCTTTACCTTCGATTTCTTCTCCAACTTCCACTTCCATCCCTTCTGACTCGTTCTTGCCCTCCGCAAGATCATTTCCCCCCAAACTTCTACCTTTCATCATCCCCTTACCCCTTCTCGTACCCCTCACATGTACCCCACCTACCTCTCCAGCCTTCTCATAACCAAGTGCTCCAAGAGCATCATCACCAATACGTCGTCTCACCCTGACAGAATCACCACCACGCGCACCTCTCAACCGACCATCTGGATCCCGTAGATCTAACAATTCTTTCCAGCTTTTTATCCCTGGATCTCTTTGATTCCCCTCGAAACAATACAATTGATTTTCGATCTCTTCACTCCTCATTTCTATCGCTTCAAGACGTTCTAACATGTTTTCCAACATACGTCTCGCTCGGGAACGTTTTGCTTGACGGGTGTCATCTGAGATCATGTCGACGTCTTCGGCTGTTTCTGCTAAATCTTGGGCTTCACCTTCGGGGATTGTTTGACGAGAAGGATCGGAAGATCTTCGCTGGTCAAAAGACCCCAATCGACCAGACCGGGCCACTGGACCAGAAAAACCTGCAGGACCAGTAGGCCCTGTAGATGGGAATTGTTGTATGGGTCTTGAAGGTCCCGACGTTGGTTGAACCTCTCCTGAAAAATCTCCACTGGCACCTCTCACTCCCCCAGAACCATCCCAACTCATCTGCACGTCCTCCCTAATCATCCTCGAATCCCGTACACCACCGACAACCTGATCAGAAACCTCCCTGACCTTCTCTTCCATACCGTCCAACCTATCTTTCACCCAATCCAGATCCAAACCTGTCATATCACCCTCTTTTACCCCCGGTATGGAAAGACTATGACGCATCAATCTCCCAAACGTCCTCTGAGCGACGAACAGTTTCGTTTTCAGCTCTGATTCCAAGTCACGGATCCGGAATCGGGCGGCATCCAGGAGTTCAGGAGAGGAGAGACGGAAGGAAGAGAGACGTTGAAGATGTTGGATTGCGAGGTCGAGTGAGGAAGAAGTCGAGATGGACGCTCGAATGGCACTGACGTCAGTGGTGTTATCCCGTTCTCCCAAACATTTAAAAGATCTTAGGATGTTGAGAAAGATATATAGGGTGAGAGTTACATATAGGTCTGAGTGATTCTCAAGACGAGGGAGTAATATCAATCAAGAGAGATATGAAAGAACATACAGGATAAACTCTTTCAACGACGCCGCACTGGTCTCCCTCTTCAACTGACCCTCTTCATCCGAAGTGGAATCTGAACTATTATCCCTCCTCTCCCCATCTTCTCGCACATCATCCTTCTTTCTTGGTCGTTTTTCCGAATTAGAAGAATTTCCTCTTCTTCTTTTCTCTTCCCTCCCACTATATTGACCTCTTTCTACCGACCTCTCCCTTCCTCTACCCAATATTCTACCCTTACCTCTATCCTCCACACCATAACTCTGTGGTCCTTCCAATAACTCCGGGTCTTCCTCCTTCACTTGATGATTTCCCATAATTGATCGGGGGAATTACGAGTAGTAGTAGGACTCATGGGACGAGGAGGTAAACCATGAGCAAATTTGTTGGAGTGGGATCTTTGATATTTTACTCCCTCCCTCGCCCGGAGAAAGACCACGTTGATTCCTGTCAAAAAGGCAGGACGGTCATCTCGTGATCCTGTACCTCCTACACCCGACGTACCCGTCATCCCCACCAGACCACTCCCAGAATCACCACCGCCGCCACTTCCACCCATTGCTCCACTGGAAGAAGGAGGTGGAGAAGTAGGTATAGGAGGTGGTGGTATACTAGGACTTTTTGGTCTTCTAACATTCCCTAAAGACCTATCTCCCCTAACTCGTTCATCCAAACGTTCATCCCTCCCCCTACCTGAAGGTCGATAAGAATCTAAAGGAAGATTTGAATATTTATCAAACCGTCTATTATCTTCTGGATGTTTATCATCAGGATGATATTTATCGTAGGGATGATGTTTATCATACTTCCTAGGTGAATCGTCATACTTGTCGTTCCTTCTATCCGTATCCATGTAAGAGTCCCTACGACGGTTTGAATGCCACTCATCCCAATCTCTCGGATCCGCTCGACGGTCACGGTCACGATCACGACCACGGTCTGACATATCGAGGTGGGAGATACAAGTATGGTATATGAGTAAAGACAGGTGAGGGGGGTGGTCTTGGAAGTTTGAGCGGGGAGTGGAGGATTACACGTGGGTTTAACATGGGGAAGGCTTATCAAGGAATTAGTATTGTGTAAACTGAGTGATTAGAAAAGGAGAAGGGGATTACTAATGGGTTCAAGGCTCGGATTAGGAAACCCAAGGAGGGAATTCTAAAGGAATCTCCGGGCGTTCCTTATCGCCACCTGTCATCGATTACTAGTTGATAAGTCAGCGAATCCTAATGGTCAAGGAGAGAATACTTGTGTCACCCATACACATGCAGCATGCATCAAGCAAGCAACCAGCAACGCGTCGAAACTGTTTCCCGTGTTAACCAGTGTACCCACCATACAGTCATTCAGACCGTCCACCTCACTGCACTAGAGTACAACAGAGAGATACGCCACAAGGTGGGTCGTACCCCGATGATATCTGCAATGTGGCAGACGACGTGACAAAGTGCTATTAATCTATTGTTACCTTGACGGTGATTGAAGAAACATCCCTTGCGACTGTTCCACTTACCCTGGTAGATGCTAGTTGATATTTGAATTCATGCCCGTGTTTCATCAACGAGAAGATAGCTGTGCGCTTTGCATGCCTAACCGACATGCAGTAAGGGTGGATCAACCGCTGATGCCATCAAACATGACCTGTCCGCCATCAAACCTATTCGACGCACGGATCGCTTCTGCCCCTCCCCCCCCCACTCCGCTTCCTTCGCTTCCCTTCCTTTCCCTCCCTCTCCCCTCTCCATCATTTCTCAACTTTTACCTCTTCCCCTCCTTCTTTCCACCTCTCCATATCATTATCTTCTTCTTATAAACCCCCCTCTCTACCTCCCCTCTGCGTGGTTGCACTCTCACTGCACATCGACCACACTGAAATCATCAACCCCCTCATGTGGTCAGCTCTGACCTCTTCCCCCCGTTCCCGTCGCGTCGTCCTCCCCCTCTCTCTCCTCCTCAACCTGGCCATCATCCTGCTCATAGTACTCCCACCGCCTTACTACCCCGACAGACTCTCCAGGCTCAAACTTCCAGAGATCGACTTGGAGGGGTTTGATCTTTGGGTCGGACAAACAGAGAGGGCGTCCAAGGAATGTGGGTTGTGTGATGTCAACCCTAGATTATGTGAAGAGCTAGGGTAAGTCCCTGCCTGAGTCGGGTTTATTTACCACTCTCCCTCATACCCTCTTTCGACCTACTCCAGTCCACCCAGTCTAGCCATTCCACCCAAAATGGTATCCCTCCATCCCCAATCACCCCTCGTCCAAATCTTCCCCTCCTGTTTGGGGTGGTTCACATCGGACGAGGGCGTAACTCACCCCCAACAGATCAGACACATTGGCCAAAGCTATAGGTTTCTCAGTCAGTCATCGTTCATACACTCACCCCTTCACCTAGTCACGTTCCCCCTCCCTACCATTCGCTCTGATACAATGCCATTCCGTCATTCTTCTCCCGCCTCATCGCTCAGATCTTTGACGTGCTTCCTTTCCTTCGATCTGACTGGCCCCGCACAGAGTGAACATCTTGCGCCTATCATGATGAAAGGCCGCAAACGTAAACTCATCACCAGGCTCCAACATCCGTCTCCGCCGATTCCTACAAAAAGCCTCGCGAGGAGATCCCTTCACGGTAGCAGTGGTTGGAGGCTCGGTTTCTGGCGGTCATGGTTTGAACGATCTACCCGAGGGACCGTACTATTCCCCTAGAAATATGCACAGGAGGGTGTTTGAGCATCTCTGCGATCTTTTTCCGCAGAACGACCGGGTTTTGATGGAGGGGGCGTCGGAAGGGGTGAATGGTTTTGTCAATGGTGCGCAAGGGGGTAAAGGTGCGTTGGTCGACTTTTTCTACGGTATCTTCTCTATCCTCCTCCCCATCCTGGCCTTGTTCTTGTCTTGTGCTTGATCCTGCTCGCCTTTGCCTGATCGAGTCAGTATCCGTCATTTGTCGACGTATATCTCTTCATGTACCGCATAGTCGCCTTGGCTCGTCAGTCAGGATTTCCAAGTTATCTCACCTGAGCGTTGATCCGGAGAGGGCGAGTGTGTTCGAAATAACTGACAACAGGCTCGAATTACTTTTCGATGTGTTTCGGCGAACACATACCGGAAGATGTCGATTTGATCCTTCTTGAACTGAGTAAGTTTTCTTTCATCTCTGGCAGCTATTGCTGACACTCAGCGATCAACGATGAATTGTCAGCTTCTTCTACCGACCATGGTTACCGCGAGCTGATGAACAAGACATATGGGGATTCCTCAACCTTACGAGCTCATGTTGCGTGGTTTGTTGGACCTACCCAGTCAGCCTGCAATATTGAGCATGCAGTGAGGCTTCTTTCCACTTAACGCCCCATCCCACCCACCCTACTTCCGACGTGTGATCTCTCCACCCAAAACGCATCTTGGAACGGTTGTGGGGCGTTGTGCATCTTCGCAGCACTTACTGTGATGTGGTGCAAGTAGGTCAAGACAAACAGATCAGATATGAAGCAGACAAGACTGTCGAGGAGGACTGAGTGGGATGAATTGCTGATCTAAAGGATCTTCGCTCTCATGTTTGGCTCCATCGCTCTTGGTGGTGATCTGGTCAGTCTGTCCGCCCGCTCTTTCACTGAATTGTTCGTCGAATCCCAACAGCCACAACACCATGCTCGACGGCTTGACAATGCCATCAGTGATCGATTGGCAAAGCTGATAATCAGCATGAAAGTTTCTCGCAGTACTACGACATCCCCATTGTTTCGCTCCGGAATGTGTTGTTACACCAGGCGCTGGATAACGTGACGCTGGTACAAGAGTTGTTTGTCAACAAGGGACCTATAGAAGGGGAGTCATTGGAGAATGTGGATTTGCGGCATGTGAGTACACGCATTCACGGCGATCCGTACCCATACGTCCTGTATTACTCGAACATTTGTGACGATCAAGTCCCGCGAGATCATTCATGTGAAGTCGCCCAGGTCACAGTGTTCTTGGGGAGAGACTCGGAGTTGAGGAGCAAAAGATCTGTCCGCCGCTGACTCTCCAGTTGTCTGGAAAAGGTCACGCTCTCATGGCGGACCTAGTGAACGCCTACATCGACGGCCAGAAGTGCGCCATGGATGTGGAAGATTCTTGGGAAGAAGATTACACATCGGCGCCTTTGCCCAGAGTAAGTGACCATTGCTCCGAGAAGTGATCACACATTGTTCTGCCGCAATGGCGAGTCAGGAAGTGATGGGGGGGAAGTCAGGATTATCATGTTTGAGCTGCCAGCGTTTCAGATATATCTTGTCTGCCGCAATTTCTTGTCGGTGGGAAGGGTCATGAACATCAGCCTGCTGCTCCCAGAATTGAGGACATCGATGGGAAGGAAAGCGCTCACACATAGCTAAGACTGTTTCAGAAGTACGACCCGTATGCAACAAATCCGACGTTGAAACCGGATTGTTTCTCGATGGACGGGACAAAACACCCGCTTGTGCCGAGTCAAAACGAGGGCTGGTGAGTGTTGACATGCTTTCTACGCCACCTTCCATCACACTCTTCCCCAGGTCCAGACTGTGAGCTCAGTTCGGATCGCCGAGTGACGCCTTTATCGGCGGCCTCAACCTGCGTCAGCGTCTCTTCGGATCCTTGAGGAGCTAGAGCTTTTGTTCGCGTTCGTGGCATTCTTCCTTCACTCGGTAGATGATCTTCGTCAACACCAGTCGTTGGCTGGTGAATCTGCGTCAGGGTGCTGATGAGCAGGCGACCTTGGAACTGGAAAAACAAAGTGAGTCTCAGTTCCCCCTTTCAGTACACAAGGAAGAGACTATGAGAGTTGAGCTCACGACAGAACTACCTCATAGCTGATCAGCCCGGATCCACCTTCACAGTTCCCTTTCATTCGTCCTTCGGCACCGTGTCTTTATACTATCTTCGCTCCAGCGAGTTTGGTCTAGGCAGCGTGAGTTGCTGGGTGGACGAGGACAAGGAACTGGCGCAGAAGGCGGAGGGTTACTGGGTCCACGAATTCAACATTGGGCAGTGAGTACTTTCGTCTGTTTGCCGAACACACTTCTTCATCTGTCGTCCACTTCTTTGCAACGATGAGATGCTCGGTGAAGTCGAGAGTGCAGCGCCTGAATAACTTGACACTGGTCTGCCCATCGTGGAGGGTGGCTTGACGGCTGGTGGAATGCCTACTGTCTGTCGTGAGGAGGAAGTCCTATTGAAGAGTCGCGTTGGCCATGAGTGAGGAACATCTCGAGAACATGCCGTAAATCGTCGATCAATTTGAATTCGCTTTCGGCTATATGGAAACTCCGACGTAGATATAGGTGGAGCCAGTGAAGATCGAATGTCGTGTCGACGTTGGATCGAGGCTGATTATAGAACCCTGAATGTACGGGAAGACCTCCAGCCAGGAGAACACAAACTTCATTGCGAACTGTTGGCGACGAGTGCCGACCCGGGGAAGGGGACTGAATTCCGGGTGATTTCCGTGATGAGGTAGGTGGTCCGCTTTCCTCTCGCAAGCGTCTTCATTCACGTTCACACCTGGCACTCACTCATCGTCACCTGCCTTCTCTAGTCCATTTCCCTGGTGACCTCTCACTTAGGAGTTCTTCCCGTCTCGCACTTAAACATGTCTCATCACTCTCCGTTCTGCTCAGCGTCCCGTTTCCTCCTGTTCTTGCCCCAACCCGTCCCACTGTTCCCCTACAGTCCACGTGCAGTGTGCTATCCTCCAATATGATTCTGGCTGCACGGTGAGAAGTGAGCGCTGACGAACAGCATCTAACGAACCAATATCCTTTACCAGCACACCATCTACCAAAATACAACATACTCACATATCGTCTTACCTTTTCCTTTAGATTTTCTTGCTTGGTCGATCCAATGCCTACACTGCCTCGATAGATGATACAATGCACAAAATGGTATCAAACCGCACGTTAATTCTCTCTGTCAAAGAGGAAGTCGAATGTATTCACCATCTTCCACGTCCGTTCAGCTTTCCCCTCGGATGTGCCCATGTTCCGGAAACAGAGTTTATTACCACATTGGGACAAGACAATTCACTTTTCCCTGAATCGTCCCCCCTTCCCTTGCTCTCCCTCGCCGCACGCGATTGGATCGGTGGTGTCGAGCTGATTCCGACTGACCAGGTCGTTACTTATATCTTCTGTCGTTTTGACGACTTCATTGAATTCATCTTTTGGGTCAAAGCTTGCTGGTACAAGTCATATCTCTCCTTACTAAGTCCATTTCTCTTTCCTCTCGAAGCGTCTTCCTCTCGACATAACTCCTCTCTTTCCCTCTTATCTCCTTCACTTCCATCTTTCCAATACCCCCCGATTACTGATCCTTCGTTCTCAAAATCAAATCATCACACTCTTTTTCAATCAAAATACGATGCCTCAACATACTCTCCTTCGACCTAAACTAATAATTCCAATATCTATCATCCTCCTCATCATTATAATCCCTTCCTTATTCCCTCTCCCAGGTCCAAAATTATCTTCCTTACCATTCTACCCTTCTGTAGATGTAGATCCTGCCGACCCTTCAAATCCATACGATTCAAACGATCCATCTTCAAATTCTTGGTCACCGTGGAATAAGATAAATTGGTGGGGATCCAAAGGTTCTTACGACGATCTTGAAGGAGAAGGTTATGCGACTACACCTGATCATTTCGACCCACATTTTCCAGATGTAGATAGAGGTAACAAGAATCATAATGAAGTGAATTTAAGGAATTTAAGAGAATTACATGTTTGTATGGCTTTGGGAAATTGTGGGAGGAATCAAAAGAAAGTCGTTTTGTTAGCTGGTTATTGGTTTAAAGAAAGTTATGTGAGTGTCGTCTTTGTTCTTGTTGATTGCCTTTCTCTCTTCATCTCTGTTCTCTCCGTCCCTGTTTTCTCCATCTCTGTTCTCTCCATCTTCCCTATCAACATATTGGTCTGGAATTGAACTTTGTATATTTTAAATTGCATTTTCGTACTTGACCTGCTATTCTTTTCAAACGTTTGAATCTTGCCTGGTCACTCATCAGGAGATTTTGGGTATTATATTATACGATAACGAAAGCCTAGGGTCCGGAGTTGGAAAGATATCATTCCCTTTCTTTCTTCCTATGTCAAGATTCTTTGGCGCTCTTCCTCCCATTGGGGTCCAGATTGGTTCCAAGTAAACAAGTGGGTTCTCATGATTGAGATTATAACGGGTTTTGTTGAATCTCAAGCATATGACGTGAAATAAGAGAGATCCACTTACGTTTAGATACTTGGATGGAGAGGAGGTGAAGGTGTTTGGTTAGTACTGTTCACTTCAAACTTTTCCGATCCCTTTTCTTGGAGTAACAATACTCGTCGTCCTCTGCGCGTCGTGATGGGAGCACGTACCCATTATCTCTCTTCTTCACTTTACTATCCTCCCCAACCCCACAATCGTCTGGACAATCGAAACAAGAACAAATCCCCCATGGCTCGAATCGTAACGAATGAGTAAACTGACCAACAGGGCAATGTCAATGAGTAAAATTAGCGCGTTCCGTTAAACGAGGCACGT